GGCCGTTCCTCACTCTAGCCCCCGGCCTCTGCTCACTCTAGCTCCTGGCCTCTGCTCACTCTAGGCCGCCGCAGCTCACTCAAGCCCGCTGTGTGTGAGACGCTGTATTTCTTTGTGAAAGCGAAACTACTTTCTTCCAAAAGAGGACACGACTAGAAATCAGTGGTTAAGTTGTATTTACAACACTGTTCCAGAACAGTTTAACCCAAATATTCAGATGTGTCCACATGGGACTGTTTCCTGATCCTGGGAGAGTAGACTACAATGCCGGCTGTTCTGACTCACAGACTGTAAGTACGTTTTTTATATTTAAAGAATTTGCCACTGACGATTCAAACGCGAGTTTTTTGGGCAGTGTAGAGTAGCACTTGTTGTCTGTCATTTCTCCGATCACAAATGCAGACATGGTTTTATGTTTACGTGGCACAATGCAACGCGTAAAAAGACAGTATAAGTCATTATAATCAGTAATTATGTCCCCACTGGATGCAACAAATGCCTCGTTTATAATGGGTTTTAATGTTTTTGTCTCGTCGCTCCGGCCGGGACACGGCATCATCACAGTATGGTGAGGGGCGTAACATTTCCGTCACACGCTTGAGGTATTCGGCCAATCACAACGCACTGGATAGCTGACCAATCAGCGTACACCTCACTTTTCAGACCGATGAGCTTTGTAAAAATCGACGTTTCAGAAAGGCGGGGCATAGAGGAGAAACAATAATGTACAGTATGTGGAAAATAATGTGTTTTTTGAACCTTAAACCGCATAAACACATTTCATTACACCAAATACACAAAATAATGTTCTTTTCAGCAACATGACCCCTTTAAACAACAGATGGACTTCACTGTTTGCCTAGTTAATGGAGGTTGTTTTACATCTCCGATCAATAGTAGTCAAGATCTGGTTACTATGCAGGGAATACGAGGATGTAAAATACAATGAACAGCATGCATATAAAAAGTCCTACTCAGCAAAAGAATTAAACATTAACATGACTACCAATTTACGTGTCAGCAATGATATTGTGGAAGAAGAATATACTGCACATGAAAAAATAAATATAAAAGAATAAAATAAAATATCTAAAATAACAATAAAAATTTTTACATACATATTTTATATATTTGATCATTTTATATTTATTAGTATTAAAACCTACATTGAAAAAAATGAATATATATA